CCCCAACCAAAAAAAAAAGTGTATGGACGAATCTATGTAGTATAGCCTAAAACTTAAGAGTATAAGTTTTATACATTGATAGTAAAAAAGCCTATTATATAATAAGTTCATTTATTAAGTATTAGTAAATTTATCAAAATATTAATTAGTAATCTGGTAAAAATAATAAGTTATATTCTATCACAAGATTAAATTCTTTGACAGTGCAAAGAAAGATTTACAATGTTAATGTGTATAACTAAAAAACAAGAATATAATGTGAAAATGTTGTTCTTAACCTATCAATGCATATAACTTCCATTCTAAATTTAATGTGAAAAATTGATGCCGAAAGGGTGTGTGCGTTTGTTTTAATGTGAATACTTGTGATATTTATACAAATGGCCGGCTGAATTTACTGTTTATTTCTTTTAGTTGGTTTACATAAAGTATACTTTAGTTATACATATATTATGCAATCGTCAATTATTTTTAATTTAAGCACTTGAGTAACGACTATTTAGATTAACTTGTTGCATCTTTTTCAGGTTAGCTACAACTGCATCTTATAGTTTTGAGAACACGATATCTGGTTGGATGAATTTGCCATCCATGTTAGGATTGTTTAACCAAAAATCTGGGTCTTTGGTCAAAGCTAGAAATAAAGAGAAATCCGGGTTACTGATAATCTGGAGACGAAAATATTAGAAGACTTCTGAGAATAATAAAGTAATAAGTAGTTTTGTATTTCAGTGTAACCTCAATAATATTTTGTGTCCCTACAGATGTAGAGTCCTTCTCCTTTTATAGTTGATTCTAGGAGAAAGTGTAATGCCTTTGTCTTAATGAGGCAATTATGAGCAATAAATGACATTAGAAGAAACGTTACANAGGGCTGACTACATTATATATATGTGTGTTAGTAGCCTTAAAAACGGGCTAAGTACCTAGGGAGGGAAATGTCTGAAAAATAGGCATAGGGTTGTCTATTTTATGGCTTGAGCATGGCAAATTATGTGCCATT